TATATTATTTGTTGTATCATTATAAAGATACTCATGTTTGTATAAACACTATAAATGAGGAGGACTTTTCTCCTCCTCAGTCCCCTGGTCTAAATGCAGACACAGTGGATAGCTGGGCAGCAGGTCTCTTGCCAAATCTTTTCCCACCATTAGCTCTCCCGGTCATATGGAGAATTTTAAAAAATAGGCGAACACAGGAGCCCAGATTAGCAATGTGTCTGAATGGTAACAAACTCAACTGATAAAAAAGAAACAAAGCTCGCCATTGTCCAAAAACATGCAACAAACCCTGTGACTCATTTCTCAAGATCTCAAAATCTCAATAATTGTGTTGCTTCCACTCATTTTAAATAAGTAGCTTAAATAAGCAGTAAACATTTTTTGTAGTGCAGTATTGTTATCATTGGTAGTCTGTGAATAATTCTTTATGAATAACCTAAAGTATTTTTAGAATGCATTTTAAGGGTCCCTAAGCAAAAAGGTATCAGTTCTACAAAATCTTCAACATGTCGACACAGACAAACCTCCCCCAGGCCTCAGCTGCAAGAGTTTTTGAGGGTCCAAGTCGATGATGTTCATGGACAGCCAATGAGGACCATTAGCTGGCATTATGAAGATATGAAGTAGTTTTATGCAGAAATAATGACTCATTTTAGACTGCAGAATATTTTTTTCTTTTCTTTTGCGAGATAATAACTCTCTTATAACTTCTCTAATAACTTTCACATTCACTTACTGCTATATTAGGACATGAATTGCAATTAAAAAAAGAAGCCTGCTCTGAAAGCTTAATGTTGTTTAAATCTGAAGTGTGTCGAAGCAATCCATTCATTTCTACCACACTACTAAGTGATGCTTCAAGTATGCAGTTCTATGCTGTGGTGAGCAATGTGTTTGGACTGGCGACCCAGTAAAGTCTGGTATGCGGCGGCAATTAATTCGAGTTCTTTTTGTTCTGCTGATCTTCACTGTGTGACTTTGACTGGTGGGAGAGAGGCTTTTATGTCTGAAAAGCAGCAGTACAGCTTGCACACAGGTCACAAATACAACTTTGGTGAAATTAGGGTTATTTATGTTCATGAGGCGACTTTGTCTTATATGGTGTATGTCAGCTTTAAGAGAAGGTTTTATTGGGCAACTGAACAGGTTTACTAGCGTGTTCATGAATTAAGTCCAGACGATTTAAAACCTATCCAGTGTCCAGACTCTTTGAAAGCCTATTGAATGTCATTGTATAGGACCTGACAGAAGCTAGACAAATATGAGGAAATAGTCAGAATAATTTGGATTCCTGAACACTGAAGCAAGCGTTTACATGTGCTTAAATGATGATCGAAATGAGTAAAAATGTTAAATCTCAAAGTTTTGAAGAAAGTCCAGTGCTTCCCAGTGGTTTGAAATATACTTGCGGTGGTAGTTGGATTGAAACGCATCAATTACCCACACCACATAAATAGTTAACTATATGCGACAAACAAAACATAATTTAATTTTATTTATTATTGCTTTCAAGTTCAAAACAAACTTGATTGCTAAAGTATTCTAGATATAAAATAGCCTATATGTAATATAACCTAATGACATCATCAAATTAATCAAATATGCAGCAAATGAGAAGTAAATGACAGAAAAACGGAATTACAGACAATATCTCAAATTTAAAGATTAAATAAGGCAAATGCTTTGATTTACCCATTAGGTGTACATATATTTCATGGTTTCTGCAACAGGGCGGCACACTAAAATTCACACTGCGACGGCTACATTACAGCTTCTTATTCAAAACTTTCATACACTGACTTAATCTTGCTGGAGTTTATAGCCATTTCACTTTAGGAAGCATTAATACTGCTCTGTAGGTCTATTGGAGAAATTCATAAATATTCCTAGCAAATCTAATAAATGTTGCAGACATCACGTTACTCTTACATAAAACACACTAAATCGCACTTCAGCAGTGTTTATTTGAGAGCACACAAGTAAAATCTGGACTTGAGCAGCGTGTATATGAGGGTGTGCAAGAAGTTTTGTGCACGAACAGAGGAAATCTGCAAGCAAAGAGATTTGCACACATGCTCGTATTGCATAAATGTGATCTTGACTTGTAATACTACGCTCACAACATTTTTCATTAATATAACGCCATTGTTAGTTGGTAGAGCTGTGTAAATGGACTGACGCCACAGCTGGAAAAAAAATCCTAGAGGAAACACTGTATTTTGCTGGAGGTTTAGACCAGTCATTTCGTCCTCTCCGAGTATGTAGCTAAAGCTAAGCTAAAGTTGGCTTAAGAAAAAGGTAATGCAAAAAACGCAAACAATTAACGAACAAATCCTGGACGTTTTAGGAAGTTTAGAAACCCGGCCAAATGTTTCTCTCGTGACTGCTTTTGCAGTCAGCTCCAAAGCCAATAGAAAGCTGCAAATGCAATAAACGCAAATGATCACCGAACGAATCCTTTAGATTTAGAAACCTGGCCAAACAAATTTAAGTGCCAAAAAGGCGTGACTCAGTCGGTCTGCGGGTCAGTCAGTCTGTCAGTGTGAGTGCTAAAATGTCTCATGCACACTGAACAAAACACGTAAACGAGAGGTTTTAACACTACGTAATTGATCGCAGATATTTGGTCATCATTGTATATATTGTAATTTGTTTGTATACGGCAACGCTGTGGCACAGTGGGTAGTGCTGTAGCCTCACATCAAGAACGTCGCTGGTTCGACCCTTGGCTGGGTCAGTTGGTGTTTTTGTGTGGAGTTCTGGGTGCTTCGTTTTCCTCCATAGTCCAAAGACGTGGTAAAGACAGGTGAATTGGTAGGCTAAATTGTCCGTGGTGTATGAGTGTGAATGAGAGTGTATGGGTGTTTCCCAGAGGTGGGTTACAGCTGTAAGGGCATCCGCTGCGTAAAGCATGTGCTGTATAAGTTGGCTGTTCATTCTGCTGTGGTGACCCCGCATTAATAAAGGGACTAAGCCGAAAAGAAAATGAATGAATGAAAGAATGAATGTTTGAATACTCGGGTGCCTGTTAATTTACCTGGGCGGTGCACTCAAGTAAGGTCTATGTGTGGGAAGCACTGAAGGCAAGTGTTATCCAAACGAAGTCTCCTATTGTGCAAAGTATTTAATAGCTCATTGGTGTTATAGGGATATTACAGCATTGTGTGTGAAGAGTTTTTTTTCTTTTCTCCGCCAGATTCTCTGATCATCTGGTGTTTTGGACTTGAGATTAGTTTCTATTTCAGATTTTTTTTTTTTCACCTTTATTTCTCCCATGTGTCCCCAAGCACTGTTGGCCATGTGTGCATGTTTTCACATAAGAGTCAAGCTGTGCTGCTGTGGAGAGCTGGACTTCCTGTCTGTTCTCCCCCAGCCCCACACCCAGCCTGCTTAACTTCCTCTTATTGTAAGGGTACACATACACATTCACACACACACACACACACACACACACACACACGCGCACACACGCACACACACACACACACACACACACACACACACACACGCTTATAAAAACAGGGCATTTTGAGTGTCACCATAACTGACATGGACTTGTACTGCAGCTTGTTAAACGGATAGTTCCCTCAAAAATAAAAATTCTGCCATTTACTTGACTTTGTTTTTTTTTCTGTTGAACTTGATAGGATGTTTTGAAGAATGTTGGAAACTTGTAAACATTGACAACTTTGTTAGGAAAAACATAACGTAATATTTTGTTCGACAGAAAAAAAAAACCTCATACTGGTTAAGAACAAAGGTTGAGTAAATAATTTCCATTTTTGTGGGAATATATCTTTGTAGATCTCTCTCTATATAAAACATGACTCTTCTTTCATTTTATGTCACCCATAACTTTCACTTCTCTAAATGGAAAGGAACTGTACCACTTTGTGATGTCATTGTATTTAGAAACGCGTATCAGTGTTGTTTGTTTATAATAAACAGTTTTGTTATATGCTTAGATACTTTATATTTTGAGGATGTTGACGATTATAGCCCCTTTCACACAGTAATTCCAGTTAATATCCATACAATTACTGGAACGGCTTTACTGGTATTTTTAAAAAGGGCCTTTTGACACACAATCCATTTATGGAAATTTACCAGTAACTTCAATGATGAGTATGATGGTGTCCATGGCGGATGATGGTGTCAATTTTGATGATGATGATGAGGAATGTTATGGTGTCAAAGATTGTGGTGGTGGTTTTGGTGTCTATGGTGGTGTCGATGTCAGTAATAGTGTGGATTATAAGTATATGAGTGTTATGAGTATATTGTAGAGTCAATGGTGTTGGTAATTGTTTTTTATTTAACGTCTTTGATAGACTTCGGAATTAAGAAAAATACTCATTCTGTTTCAGTCACACAACTGTTTTCATACACACCAATTGCTTTCATGCCTATTTAAGTAGATTTTTAAATGAAGGTTTTATTAGCACTAAAATAAATATATGCTATTGTAAATGCAGTTTTTAAGGCTGCAATAAAAGGATCTAAAAGTACAGGAATTGTCTGCTTGACTCTGCTTATAGAAGGTTGTGAATAACCCAAATAATCACTGCTTCATAGTTCATTTTCTAAGTGACCTAGTGTTTGGATGATGTTGTTTTTTGTTTGTTTGTTGTATTTTCCCCTTCGTCCCATTTCTGGCCAAATGGCATGTGGCATTTCTGCACTGTGTCAGAGATGTTACTTTGTCTCTAATAAGATCACAAACATGAAACATTTTTTCTCCCTCTTCGGCTTTTGCCTGTTTTGACCACTGATAAAATCTAGCTTAAGCCTCTTCAAAGTCCTGGCTACTCCTAAGACTTTTTGACCTTTAAGGACCTTTTAGGATGTTTCGTGAATAACTTTTATCTTTACTAGGATCTTCTCTTTAATTGTATGGGAAACCTTACAGTTTTCTGAGAAATTTCTTTAGAATTTTGTCTCTTGGAGCAACTCTTTGTGCTAAGAATCTTCATAAATACAGGCCCTGTTTTCTTGTTTAGGTTTGCCTGAGGAGTGTAAAGTTCAGACTCCGGCGTTCACAGATGCAGTGCGACTTTATCGACAGTCTCATGGTCATTATGGAACCTGGGATATGATGTGTGGGAAGCCTCCACAGGTAATGACAAAACACAATATTCAATATATCTTTATATGTTAGAAGACCTCATATTTGTTTGTTTGCTTTCACTTATTTTTTCCTCTGAATCCTTTTATTCATAAATTATTTTTTCTATTATTTTACATGTAATTTACTTTATTTGATTTTTATTTTTTTTTATTGTATTTTGGACACTGGTCGATCCAGCAAATAAATGTTACCTTGTGTTCTATTAAGTTGTTGTTTTTATGTATTTTATTTTAAATAAATGTTTTTAATAAAATTGTATATAGTTAATATATAATAATATTAATAATATAATTAATAATATTAATATATTTATTTATATAATATTTGTATTTATTATTTATTTATTACTTATTAGTAATTATTTGTTTATTTATTTTATTTTTATTTTTTATTATTGTTTTTTATAACTTATTATTTTTTATTTATTTATTCAAAAAAAGCAGTGTGTAGAAGGGTGAAATGATGTCACCCAGTATTTGTTTGGGTTATAATTGAAGGTCAGAGCTAAATTAAGTCATGGGAAGTGACCCAGTTCAGTAAAAAAATAAATATTGTGTTACTTCAGAGAAAGAGAACAGGGTATATTGACCTTTTTAGGTGTGTTATTAGTCAGCTCTGCAAAATTGCAAAAAGAACATATTTATTACATGTTCATTTAACACTGCATTAACATTTATTTAAAGACATGTATGGTGAGTGTAGATCTTGAACATGAATAACATTAGTGGAGTCTGACCTTGATCTTTTATCATTGATTAAAGTCATGTTACAAAATCACATGATGAAGATAAATACATTTTTATAATATTTGTTTAACTGTAAATGGCAGCTTGCCTCTGTTTAACCTGTGATCCTCTTGGCAGCATCATCAAATTTACTTTTATTTTTATTTTATTTTTTTTATCTTTTTCACTTATTTATTAATTTATTAGTTTATTTTATCAACTGAGCTCTTTAACTTTATTGTTTTCTCTCTGAAGTGAGTAAAAAATAGAACATGCGTTGTGTGTGTCCTCCAGTAACTTCCGACTGTAACTCTGATCTACTGTATATGGTTTAAATTTTCAATGTTTGCAATATGTCGGGCTGAACAATAGATGTTAATCCTGCACAGGTTTATTTTTCTTGTAATTCAGTAACACTATTCTTGTATGTTTTGCGAGAAGGATGTCACCGTAGCCAGTTTAATGACACATGAACTTCATTCAGACAGACTAAAAGTAGTACAGTAGTAATTGTAATGTGCTTTAGGCAGGCCGGGTTTCCTCATATGTCTAGTCAATGTGATGGGTATGAGTAAATAAAGCCTCCAGGCCTAATGTGTCAATCAAACTCACAAGACGACTTCATAATTTCTCTGCAATCAATCTCATGTTGATTTTGACGATCGCCACTGTAAAGTGTTGTTCTTTCTTCAGTTGTTTTCTGACTGTCACTGCAGATCCTCGCTAATCTGGTCATGGAGACCCTCCTCCCTGAGATGAGAGACCTCATAACTCCGAAACTGAAGGGCAAGATGCATGAGAGACAGAAGAACTGGATGCTGGTATGTCCTGCATTTTAGATGCTTTTTGAAAAAAAAAAGTAATGTAAAAAAAGGTTTTACTTTTTAAAATTAATTCATTTGTTTAATTGTTTATTTATTAATTTGTTTGTTTATTTATTTGTTTATCTGTTTTTCATTTGTTTTATTTGTTTTTGTTTGTTTGTTTTTTGTTTGTTTATTTACTTAGTAATATTTTATATTTGTTGTCTTTTTTTATTCATTTTTTAATTCATTATTTTATTACATTGGTTAAAATTAATGAGTAATTATTTACCCAAGATTTATTTGTTTTATTAGGTTTTTTCACATTATTTATTTATGTTGTATAAGTAATTGTGTTCAAAAAATGAAACCAACAAGCAAACACTTGGCATGAGCTGATCTGATTTCCCAACAATTTATTTTATTATTTTTTTTTTCTTGTTAATTCTTTTTGTGTTATCTTTCTTAGTATTTATTTGTTTGTTTATTTGTTTGTTTGTTTATTGGTCGGCAAAACCATTTTATACTTTGTGCAGTATAGTATTTATATATTTTTTTTTTACAATTGTATACATTTTGTACTATATGCTTTTTTATTTAATGATCGTTATTATATTAATACTTTTTGTTGATTTCATTTTTTGTTCTTTTTATTGTTTTGTAGTTTTATTATTTTTTTACATTTTTAATTAATAAATGAGTAATTATCAAAAATGTATTTTTTATTAAAGTTTTCATTATTTATTTTATTTCATTATTTATTTATATAAAAAAGTAATTGTGTTGAAAACCTACTGAACAAGCAAACATTTGACATGAGCTGAACATTTTATACCTTTTTTTTCTTGTTGATTCTTTTGTGTTATCTTGCTTTGTTTTCTTATTTACTAATTAGTTTTGTTTGTCTACTACTCTTGTTTTAATATTTTTGTTTCTTAATCTTCGTATTTAATTTTTTATTTATTTCATTTTTTTATTAATACACAAGTGATTTACAAGTAACTTCCCAATGTTTAATTATATTTTGTGTGTTGTGCAGTCTTGTTTAAAAAAAGTACAGTGCTCAGTATAATTGAGTACACCCCATTTTAAAAATGAATATTTTTAGCCATTTCTCAGTGATTATAGGCAATGTATTTTGGTGCATTTAAACAAAACAGATTTATTTAACAGATATTTTTATGAAAATAATATTTTAGTCAACAAACATATTTAGAAATTGAAAGATAATACAATTAAATTCAAGCTAAATATTAAATTTAATCATGAACTACAAAATTTCAACTAATTTTTTAATTTTTTTTCTTTCTCTTGATTTTTCCTCTTTTTTTTAATTTGTATTTAATATTTTTCCATGACATACAGTATAAATTTGGATGTACTAGTTCTTGGACCATTAGTTATTTTGTTAGATAAGCTCCAGATTTGGCTTCAGTACTGACTAATCTAATGTATTTGCACAAATAAAAAAACTATAGCATCCTATAAAAATATTAAATTAAAAGATAGATTTGTGAGGGGTATACTTGTATATGCTGAGCACTGTATATTTTATTTTGTTGTGTTTTAATTCACAATGATATGTATAATATAAGGGTCCTAATTTTATTGACGTTGGTGTAGCACATTAGTAGTATAAAGTCTGCTTTGTAAGGAATCAGATCTTTCTATTTTCCAGCAGCCTGGCTTTACTCCAGTGTGTTTTGTGTTCAGATATCAGATGCAGTGTACGGCCTGGTTCAGAGTCAGGCTCAGGCTCAGTATGAAGCTGTAGTGCAGAGCTGTGAAGCAGGTCGACCTCCTCTTGAAACCACCATCCGCACAGACATGGACCAGATCATCACTTCCAAAGAACACGTGACCAGCAAAATACGAGGTTTGACGTCTTTTCTCCTACAATTCCTTCATATGTCTTTACTAAGTGACAGAAACGGGCTGCTTATTATTTATCTGAAAATAACCTGCCAGATGTTTATCTTATCATATCAGGTTTCTGGTGATATGCTTTCCTAGGAAGTGCGTTTTAAAGGGATTGTGAAAGAACAGACAACGTTTTGACAGCTTTTCTGAAGTGTTGTTGACGCACATGATAGAAGTGTTCTTCAGAAATTGCAAAAACGCCTTCTGTTTGTCTGTCCTATGTATTCATAATATCCTTGGATATTTTATTGTTTCTGCATACTTTGATTATATCATGATCTAGCACTGATGTAAAGAAATAACTAATTAGTCACTTGTGGCCAGGACCAGGCAGCATTATTATTAATTTTTGCTATTTCTGCACAGATTTTGTAAAAAAAAAAAAAAAAAAAAAAATATATATATATATATATATATATATATATATATATATATATATATATATATATATATATAGAGAGAGAGAGAGAGAGAGAGAGGAATAACTTTGAAAGTATAGTAACACATGAACTAAAAATAACTTTTTTGTGTGTTTTTTTTTTTTTTTTGTCTATAGGGCTTGTGCTGCCCAAAGCAGAGAAGCTTCTAAAGGTCAGCATCCAGCCATACATCAGCTCAATCCTGGACGCTCTGATGGAGCCCACGAGCCGAGGCTTCTTCGAGGTGCGAGACCTGTTCTTCAGAGAGCTGGTGGACATGAGCAAGAATCTCCTCAATGATGGAAACAAAGAGAAACTCGGCGAGGTAATGTAGAACTTCATTTTGCAGTTCTGTTTCACATGTACTTGCTGTATATTTAGTACAGTCATTACATAAACTGGGTGATAACAAGGTACTACCTCTAAACCTACACCTGAACCATGTTATTATTGCCTTATTTACATTTACATTTAGTCATTTAGCAGACGCTTTTATCCAAAGCGACTTACAAATGAGGACAAGGAAGCAATTTACACAACTAAGAGCAACAATGAATAAGTACTAAAGGCAAGTTTCAGGTCTGTAAAGTCTAAGAAGGGAAGTATTAGTAGTTTTTTTTTTTTTTTTTTTTTGTACAGTTAGTGTGATATTCAAAGAGGCAATTGCAGATTAGGAAGTGAAGTGGAGACTAAATAGTTGAGTTTTTAGTCGTTTCTTGAAAATAGCGAGTGACTCTGCTGTTCTGATGCAGTTAGGGAGTTCATTCCACCAACTGGGCAGATTGAGCGTGAGCGTTCGCGAAAGTGATTTTTTCCCTCTTTGGGATGGAACCACGAGGCGACGTTCATTTACAGAACGCAAGTTTCTGGAGGGCACATAGATCTGCAGAAGTGAGTGCAGATAAGAAGGTGCTAGGCCAGAAGTCACTTTGTAGGCAAACATCAGAGTTTTGAATTTAATGCGAGCAGCAACTGGCAGCCAGTGCAAACAGACTAGCAGCGGAGTGACATGTGCTCGTTTAGGTTCATTAAAGACAACTCGTGCTGCTGCATTCTGGAGCAGCTGAAGAGGTTTGATAGAGTTAGCTGGAAGCCCAGCTAGTAGAGAGTTGCAGTAATCCAGTTTGGAGATGTAACCAAACATTTCCTTGGGTAAAGTAAGTCTAAGGGTTAGTTCACCCAAAAATAAGAAATTCTTCAATTATTCTCACTCAAGTGGTTTTAGTTTTTTTTTTTTTTCTCTCTTGATTTCTTTTTTCTGTTGAACACAGAAAAATATATTCTAAAGAATGTTAGACACTAGAAACTGTAGTAGGAGAAAATGGCTGTTTTTCCCCAACATTCTTCAGAATATTTTTCTTTGTGAAATATGAACAGAAGACATAAGCTTTTCTAGATTTTTGTACAGGTGCTTCTATACAGGTTTATATCCTCTGTGACTACATGTGACCCCCCCCCCCCACCCCCAAATCTCTCATCATCTGCGTACCCTTCAACTTTTCCAAACCAGTTTGAGTTTCTTTCTTTTGTTTAAACCAAAGGCAAATATTTTACAAATGCTGAAAACCTGTAACCATTTACTTCCATTGTTTTTCCTAATATGGAAGTCAGTGGTTACACATTTTTAGCTTTCTTCTAAATATCTTTTGTGTTCAACAAAAGAAAGAAACCCATTAAGATTTAAAAGCACTTGAGGCTTGGTAAATAATGAATAAATCTTCATTTTGGGTGAACTATGCCTCTAAAGCAGAGCTCAAACTGCCGGCCTGCTGGCATTAGTAAGATTCTACTGCTGGCTAAATTAAACATGTTAAAGTAAATGTGAATATGTACATAATTGTCACCTCTTTGTTGTAGTTTAAAAAAAAAAAAAAAGAATGATATTGAGATGAACAATTGCCAGTGAAGTCAATAAAGTTACTCAAACTGCGCTCTACTGTTTTACGCTATCTGTTAACTTTTGGTTAAGCAACAGTTGATTAGGATATAATTATAATTATTATGCCTATTATTAAATTGTAGTATTTTCACAGAAATTTAAACTACCTCTTCAATATGTACAACAAGAAACAAAAAGAAAGAGCTTTGATACTCTGGGGAAGAATGTATGAGTGCATCAATTCCATCAGGTATCCACTTTATTTGTGTGCTAGAATGTTGTGTGCAGAGTTACTGAAGTTAGTCCTGCGCGCTTGCGGTTTTTTTAGTTACTACTTTGGTTAGGTGCGTTAATCTGATCGTTACTATTATTCAAAAGAAGGTAATGATTCGCACTCAATTGCTTAATACTGTTTTTATTTTTTACTTTTTCTTACATTTTACGGGTGATAACAGACAAACAGACGTTTCGGCACAAAGCCTTCCTCAGTAATGTGCTTGTAATGTAATTACAATGAGGAAGGCTTTGTGCCGAAACGTCTGTTTGTCTGTTATCACCCATAAAATGTAAGAAAAAGTAAAAAATAAAAACAGTATTAAGCAATTGAGTGCGAATCATTACCTTCTTGTGCTAGAATGTTAAAACGGCCCTCCGATGAATTCTCAGTCCTAGATTTGAGACCCCTGCTCTAAAGCCATAGTTCATCCAGAAATATAAATTCTGTCATTTACTCATCCTTCACTTTCTTCCAAACAACTTTGAGCCTCTTTTGCTCATAGGTGCTAATAGGCGAGACATGAAAACCTTTTAATATCTCTTAAATCTCTTTTGTGTTTGCTGCCCAGCACATGGACAAGATCTCCATGCTGGCCTTTCATCCAGTGAAGATGCAGAACGGCTATGAGAAGATGGAGACTCTGAGTTTAGAGGGACTCCAGCAGCGATTTGACGTTTCCAGCCCGTCTGTGTTTGTCCAGAGAGCTCAAATCCTAATGCGAGAGGTCAGTCACCTTTGAGATAAAAAAAAATATCTGAAGAATTTCATTATAAACAACCACCCTTACTGTCACACTGTGGTATTGACAACAAACTACACGTGTACCAGTCATCTGAGCTGCTTTTATGAGATTTATGCCATCAGAATGGTTTGTTGAACTGCAGCTTGTTTAAAGATGTATAGAAACATCTCTGTTAGTTAGGAAGGGGGTTGTAACGGCAAAACAAGTGGTTTCTGTGTGTCAATTAGGGTTTGGTTTGAGGTTTTTGTTTTGTATGAAACTGTAGGCCCTGAGGAGGTATGTGCTGTTGTGGTTGAGATGTTAAACCTCATTTCGGTCACTAAATGACATGGTTGTGTTTTTATAGACTAGCATATGACTGTGGATTGTATCGACCCTTTCATATGAAAGCTTTTTTTTTTTTTTTTTTTTTACTGTAGAGACAGATTTTCAGAGCACTGGGAGTGGAGAAACATGATTGAACTTGAGTGTTGTGAATTACCAAAATGTTGATCCACCCTTTCCATGTGGTGAAATACGCTCCCTTGTGGTAATAAGGATTAGCAGACCATAGTTTCTTGTGAAATGCTTGTTGTTGTCTTTTTTTTTTTTTTTTTGCTTGGAAATTTCAGTGGCTATTGCACAAAAGCTAGATAAAGCTGGGATTTTCGAGCTCTCCTTGTTAAAATTTAGCTTCTGCTCAGTCACGCGATAGCAGGCTAAATTAAACTAAATTAAGTTACTATTGAGATTTATTCTTTGCAGCTGCACCAGAACAACCAGGCTAAGAGTAATCATGGTATTATATCTGTTAGTTTCACTGTCAATGCTACTAGAATTGTGTTTTATAGCCACTCCCTGTTCTTGGCTATGTACAAATACTTTCCAACCATTAAAATTTTAAATATGTACTTTCAAATGTATTCTTCAGGTCTATTTCCATCTTAGATGCAATCCTGCTTAACTTTGGATAAAGGCTAGAATACAATAAGATTCATTTTAAAGGTAGCACGTATTCATTATTGTTGAAGCTTTTATTGCAATACAGACATAATGTAAGCTGCAAAAAAAGGGCTTTTTAAACATGTATAATAACAAAAGAGATTGTATACATTTCTGTTTGCTTCGTTGTATAAATGCTTGGTATCAGTTTATTTTGATTCCTTTAACGCATTGTGTTGAATTTAAGTTACATTGCATCTACATCTACTTTTCATTAGATTGTAAGTAGACTGTTAGGTTGGGTTAGGGTTAGTGTAAGTTATAGTCAATTAAATGTCTGTTGAAGGAGCAGTATCAGCAGGTATTAAGCAGACCGTCTACTAATACTCAAATGAGAAGTAATTGACATCTTTTAGTCAACAAAATGTGCAATGGGGACCATCAAAATCAAGTCTTACCAAATGTTTAGTGTAAACTCGTTCATTCATTTTGCTTCAGCTTTAGTCTCTCTTTTAGAGGTTGCCACTGTGAAATGAACCGTAAACTAATGTTTAAAATAAATTTAATTGCAAAAGGCTCATAAACCTCTTTGGTAAATGTTGAAAGTGAGAAACAGCTACATTTGTTACAAAATTTCTGTCATTGGTAGTATTCATTTTTGTTTTACTATACTAACGTTTGCTTTTTTACTGTTTACTTTAACCTACAGTAAGTAACTCCTTTGAATAAAACAGTTATGAGTTATTAAACATTAAGAAATTAATAGTAAACTAAAAGTGACAATGTTAATAAATGGAGCTTTATAATAAAGAATCAGCTTTTTAAATCATTATCTCTGGCATGAACAGATTGACATGTAAAAATGTTTGTTTAAAATGTAATAGCATATTAAATCATTAAACATTCTCTATGTTGAATCCTTTATTTTGTTGCATTTTATTCTCTCTGTTCTAGGGCTTTGTGGTTTAGTAAAGCACATTATAAATAAAATGTATTATTATTATTATTATTATTATCATCAAACATTTGATGCTGTGATCAGCACCACAGTGAATAAAACAATTAGAATATTTTTACGAGGCCTTTCTTTAAGCTTTGTTTTCTAATCTCACATACACAGACACCTTGCATAAAACATGCTTATTGCCTACAATTTGCACATCCAAGATTATTTTGTCAACTAGCACTGCCTTGTCTAATCTGCAACTCTGTGTGGGTTATTATATTATTTTTAAGGATATATTTATCTGATTTGTGCAGCAAATGGATGACGCGGTGTACACGTTTGAGCAGCTGCTGCACCAGAGTTTGGAGGACCAGGAAGGAGAAGATCTCTGTAAAACCATCCAGCGCTGCCAGGATCGGGTCATCAAGGTAAAACACAATGTCCACCTGCCTTATCATACCTTTTGGAATCATTTTAAACTTAATTTTTGTGTTTATTCCACATTGGTTCTCTAGAAATTTGACTATGACAGCAGCACTGTTCGTAAGAAGTTCTTCAGAGAGGCACTTCTGCAGATCTTCATCCCCTACATGCTGAAACAGCTCTCCCCATCATGCTCTGCTGTAAGTCCTGCAGCTGTTCTTATAGCAGTAATGCATTATCTGTTGGAAAAAAAACACTCTGACATAGGGTGTATTCTGTTTTTGCAGGAGCTCCCTCGCTTCCAAGAGCTCATTTTTGAGGATTTCTCTCGTTTCATTCTGGTGGAGAACATCTTTGAGGAAGTGGTCCTGCACACGGTCATGAAAGATATAATGATGGGTAAGGTTTCTTTCAAAGAACAAGATGAGTTTAAAGCACTGATGTTATGGAAGTAGTGACCAATGTCTAAACTGTTATAACCCAAATGAAATTTTGCCCCAGATACTCCAGTTTCCTCCCACAGTCCAAAGACAAGCAGCATAAGTGAATATAATAAACCAATAGGAACAGTATATGAGTACTTACTGTATGTACTAAGCTTTCACTGCATGGGCATGCGCTGGTGTGGTTGGCACTCTATTTCTCTAGGGCTGCTCCCGATAATCAAGGAAAAGGCTGAACGAATTCTGGGAGCTCTGGAGAACTACCTGATCTCGTACCCTCTTACATGATTATTGACCAGGCGAGAGCCTTGGGCTGACTTATCTCCAAGCTCAGGGTTCTCTCCTGAGACAGAACATTTACTCAGGAGAAAAAAAATAAACCCAAAATGTCAATACTGCAACAGAAACCAAACTGTTAAACATGTACTTGTGGAATGCCCTATTTTTAATGTTATCAAAGAACTTTTTTTTATCTGGAGAGACTTAAAATGAAATATTTTTTAAATGTGAATGCTTCTAAAATTGTACAATTGTTTTAGCAAAGAATAGTTTTAGATTTTTGTCTTTTATATTATCATTATTATTAATTATGTATTTTTATCTTGTGTATTTATTGCTGTTGATTTACTTTTAATTTTTAGAATATTTTTTTTAATTATAAAAAAGTGTTATTTATAAAATATGGTAAACTTGATCTGTTTTTTTTTTTTTTTTTTTTTTTTTTTTTTTTTTTTTTGCCATAGCATAGCCAGAGAAACTAAAATGACAATGAACTCAAAATTATTTCTCTTTCTCTCCCGGGACAGCATGCAAAAGCTGCTAACATTATCAAGCAATATCTTGAAGTCTGAACACTTTTGTAATTTTTGTATTTATTTTTTACAAATTGTCATATTCTACCAACATATTCTCTAAATGACAATAGTTTTTATTTGAAATTTGGAATAAATGTTATTAGAGATTCCACAATGCATTCATGCCATCAGTGTGGTCTGATCAACATTTCCTCTTATGTCTCCAGCGGTGAAGGAAGCAGCAGTCCAGAGGAGACACAACCTATACCGAGACAGCATTGTTTTGACCAACAGCGACCCAAACCTTCACCTCCTGGCAGAAAACCCTGCCATCGACTGGGCTGAGGAGTATGGAGGAGGCCAGGAGGAGGCAGGTGGAGAAAACGCTGGAGATCCCGAAGCTCAGAAGAGGCGCAGGATGAAGCAGGTGGTCTCCATGATCCAGTTAGAGGGCACCGCATCAGTGCTGCCCCACGAGTCATGTCTGGAAGTGCCCAACGTGGGCAAAATTCCAGAGGAGGAGACCGAGGTACATTCAGACACCTCATTATCCCAAAAATCGGAGAAGCAAGTGCCCAACGGAACCAAAGAGGATGTGAACAGAAATGCGGTTGAGGAGAAGCCACCTACAAATAGAAGTCCGCAAAAAGAGGAAGAGAAAACGATGGAAAATTCACCACAGGACACAGAGAGCAAGTCAGCAATAGATTGTGCCATTCAAGAAATCGACAAAGCAGTTCAGGAAGAGGAACAAGAGAATCGGACACAGAAAGAGGAAACCGAGATAAAAGCAGACACTCATTTACAAGAAATGGAAGGAAGTACAAATAAAGATCCACCTTTAGGTTCAGAGGATTCAGCCGTTAGGGAAGTGGAGGCCGTGACGGCATCAGATCAACAGGAAAATCACATTACGGAGGGTAATCAAGACTCCCACACGGAAAAGCCCATCTGTTCGTTACAGCAGGACGACAGTGGAGTCCAGTCGCCCGCTAATGAGGTAAAAGTAGAGGAGCATCCAATGGAAAAGCAGGAATGTAATGACGCTGAGACAGGAGAGGACACTGGGAAGGGAGAAAGTGCACACGTGGATCACAAGTGAAAAGACGATTCAGTTAATGTGTTTGTATACCTGCAAACATTGAGGAAATGCATTACACATTGCTCTTAAAGGGATAGTTCACCCAGGTATGACTATTAACTCACTGTTTACTCAACCACAAGTAGTTCCAAACCATTTATACATTTCTTATTTGTGTTAACATTAAAAAAAAGATGTTTTGAAGAATGTTTGACATGGTATTCAACGTTCTTTAAAATATATTGTTTTATGTTCAACATAAAAAAGAAACGATCCATGTTTGGAAAAGTGCAGGGTAATTGATCATCTATCCCTTTAAAAGAGAGTTTTATTTTCACTATAGTCTCACATTTCTGACTGTATAGACATTATTTAGTGTCTATTGTAGTGTCTATTTTTGTTCTTGTCACGCTGTCACAATTTTTGCACTTAGAAAAAAAAAATCACGTCACTCAGAGCTGGACTCGATTATATACACGTCTTACAGTAGGTCAAAATGTCTTTCTAATCATAAATACGAAATCCAACACTATTAGGATTCTCAATCATTTCTGAGTGTGCTGAAAATCATGACGTAAAGCAGACACATTCTGCCCGATGTTAATAGCATATGTTGCCTTATTTAAACTATGTTGTTCCATCAGATTTGTTTTTATTGATCAAAATCATCTGCCTCGCCCAGAATTCAAACTGAAGACACTGACTTTAATTTTTTCATAAGGTTTTTTTTTTTTTTTTATGTAAGTTTGTTTAATGCCTAAGCAATTTTTGTTGTTGCTGAAAATGGCATAAGGAAATGTCAGTTTTCTGCACAGAAGATATTCTGATGCTGTGGTTTAACTGGTAAAGAGTGCATCATTTTAATCCCAGTTCCAAAACCGTACAAATGAATTCAAGTGATTTTCCAAATGGTGGCTTTTCCACTGTTGAGCTTTTCATTTTTATTATTATTATTTTTTATTTTTATGTGTAATTGCTTTATCAAATCCGTATCAAATATCTGGGTTGCATGTGCACTGTAGTAGTTTTAGTCAATGCTGAGGATACTGTGCTGCAGAGGGTTGTGGGTCTTTGTGGAGATGCGTGTCATTTTATTTAAGACAGGTGAGTTTTTTTTTTTTTTTTTTTTTTTTTTTAATACCGTAGGTCGATTTAATTCATATTCATGTTAGTACAGCGCCACTGACAGAAAACCAGATACTAATATTAGATCTTTGTATTTCAAATTGAAATGTTTGTTGTGCAAATAGTTGTCTTCGATGCATCTGTCCACAAGGTTTCCTCCTTGCTGTTTGAGATTTTCTTAAGTGCAGTTTTATCTATGAAATGACAAGTACTTCAACTTGGATGTAACTGAATATATTTTCTTTTATTTATTAGTTACAAGCACTTGGTACTATACTGCATCTTAACCTTTTTAATTGTATGCTACTCAAATCCTTTTGTGACTTATTTTATTGTTATGTTTTGAAAAAATAAATCATTCACTGACAGACAGTTGATATATTTTTTGTTTTTAAAATGTTTACTCAATTGAATCTGATAATAGTAACACTTTACAATATGGTTTAGTTGTTTACATTAGCTGAACAGATCTTGGACTGCAGTCATTTTAAACACTTCAAATTAACTAAAAGTTGATTGTTCAAATCAATGCACTACGAACTAACATGAATATGAATTTGATGTTAGTAAGTGCTATAAGTAGTATCTCCTATTAATTGGTTTATTAAATACATTATTTATAGGTGTTCACCTGAAGTATTTCTCCGAATGTGGTGTGGTGTATCGGTTACACCAGCAGGAGGCAGTGCACACTTTTGTCACGCTAGCCGCACCAAATCCTGAACACTGGCCTGAACCAAGATGAACTTGCAGTAATATTTATTTATTTATTTACATTAATAACAGGAGATACATAAAACCTCAACTTTTACTAATATTGTGTGACCTGAATAAAAAAAATACATATTCATTGTACAACTAGTTACACAAATGATACAAAGTATAAGGGGAAAAAATCATACATGAAAGAAAAACAAATATTTAAAGAAAATGCTATAAAAACACACATAAATATCTTTAAACAGTGACTCTCAAACGTTTTTTATCAAGTACCACCTCAGAAAAAAATGGTCTCTCCGAGTACCACCAAAATGAGCAGAATTGAAATACAGTAGCATAGTAGGCCCAGTAAAGAAGCTTCAACTTTGCACAGTTAAAAAACGTGGCAGATTACCTCAGAAATATAGGCTATATGTCATATGTGGCATATTTTATACATGATTTTTGATCAATTTTGAAATGTGTGTAGCATGTACATGACATGTTTCATTCCTCCGCGTTACATATGTATATGTACCACAGTTTGAGAACCACTGTCTTAAAAAAAACGTAAATTATTAAGAGTGTTACATAGGCGTACCAAAAGGGATCTGATCAAAAGTATTATGTTTGTTATTTTGATATGATAAATGACATTATTAATGACCAATGATATTATTGTATGATATAGTATTAATGACCAATGATATTATTTTGATATGCTATTATGATACGTGATATTATTAATGATCTTATAATAATAAAAAAAATTTCAGCAGCTCAGTTGTTTTGGTAGCTTTCTTATTAAGCAGACTCAAAATAAAGTTTCAAGTCAACATAATTAAATTTATTTTTATGAAAAATTATATATATATATATATATGAGCGTCTGTTGAAACGCATTTTTAATAATTATCCAACGTACGCATCGACAGCTCGCAGACGCCCAGACGTGATGACGACAATGTTTTGCGTAGCTCGAGCGCGCAAGCTCTGGTATTTTCTCCGCTCAGACTCAAAGTGAGAGAGATCGGCTCAGCTCTTCGTGTCAGTCACGCAGCGCACAGGCAGCATCATCAGCATCAGCATCATCAGCTGCAGCAGCGAGCGATCCCGCACACCGTAAACACTCCTCATCCACTGCAGACCTGACTGCCATTGCACAGACATTACAGGCGCAGGTTTTCCGCGACTGTGGGACGGGGGAATGATAAACCCCGGGTCCCCAAAGCCGTTGTACTGCTCGTAAGGATGCGATCACTGAGTCGACCGTGGGCCTCGACACTCGCCGAGGCTTTCCTCATCACAACAGTGGCCGTCAGCGCCGCGATGGCAGGTAGGACGCGTGTTATTCTTGGCGTTTATAGAGACTGTGTAGCTAAACTGCTTACTTGGGTTAAGTAAACAATGTCTGCATATCAAATGTAAAATCTGCTTGTACTTACCGCGTATGGATAATACATTATGAGTATTTTGATATTTTAGTACACAAGTCTACTTCAGATGTAGCTGCATAACCAAAATCTTAATTAGCGTATTTTGTATGAGATTTATTTTGCATCATTAACAATAACAGAATGTTTTGCTTATGTTTAGTGTCTTTTGGATACATTGAGGCTTGAATTTTTGTCTTTGATTTGTTGATTATTCTGCTCTATGGCCATCTGAAAATGATGAGGTCCTTTATTGAAATGAGCAATGATTTTAATATAGCCTAGTTAAAGTTTGGCAACCAAGTTTTAACATATTGTTGATTACTATTTGTAACCACAGGTTTACTAAAATACCATGGTTAAAGCTATGTTAGTTACCATGGATTAACTACAAAAAGGCCATAAGAACCATGGTAAACTTGCGTAAGGAGCATAATAAATGTCACGATGCATGAAAGAACAACAAATCTGTTGTGTGACGCAAATGGGAGAGATTCGCACCACCTTGTCATCCACATGTGTCCATTTTTGGAAATGGGTGCACATTGTTTTGATGTCATTCTCATATGACAGTAATTCCTCAGAGTTTTAGAGTCGTCTCCATGTTTTTCACTCGGCAGATTTTGCATTAATGTCCTGATAATGTCGCTCGGTTCATTGACACGTACACTCCGAGGGGCTCTTCTCTCTCACCTCTTGTTGTTGAGTAATGGAAACACTAACAGGCAATCAGCAGTCAGGAAGGAGGACTCCAGATCCTGACACGTTCCTTCTGACACGCAGGTCTGAGAGCTATAAATAAGAACAAAAAGAATGTAGAACATGACGGCCACTGGAGTCTTTCATATCAGACCAAAGACAGACTCTGCACTTGACACTCAAGGGAAGCATGCACAACAAAAGACTCTTTCCCATTTTACAAGGCCAGTTCTTGGCAGTTCATAACTTGTACTTGCATATGTTTACACTTATTTATATGTATCTTTGTTTGTTCTCTTATATTTACCCAGCTGCTCATAAACCGATACACTAAAAAACATTTACTATGCTGTTTTCTAAGAGGAACACTTACAGATAAAATGTATCTACTGTTAAAATTCAACATGCAACTACAAATGTTTGACATTTAATGGATTTTTCATTCATTCGTTTTTTTTTTTTTTTTTTTTTTTCTGTTTAGTCCCTTTATTCATCAGGGGTCACCACAGCGGAATGAACCGCCAACTTATCCAGCATATTTTTTACATAGCGGATGCTCTTACAGCTGCAACCCATCTCTGGGAAACACCCATACACTCATTCACACAATTGGACAATTTAGCTCACCCAATTCACCTATATCGCATGTCTTTGGACTGTGGGGCGAACCGGAGCACCCGAAGGAAACCCACGCCAACCTGGGGAGAACATGCAAACTCCACATAGAAATGCCTTCTGACATTGTCGAGGCTTAAGAACTAGTTTGTCCAAAAATAAAAAAAATATATGTTTTTACTTACCCTCATGTCTTTCCAAACCCTTAACACAAATTAAGATTTTTTTTGTAAATCCGAGAGCTCTCTCATCCACCATAGATGACAACTGTCCAATTCAAAAGTCCCAACTTTTATATTTATGGACTATTTAACAGCAAATATCGCATACTGTATGCATCCAATTTCTTAAAAATACCGCTTGAGCCTAAATTAATCATGAATGAACCTTTTGTCAGCTCACTGTGTCAATGACTCGGCAGAAAGCACAAGAAATCTTCCTCGTAAACATTCAAGTTCATGGTTAAAATCTAGCCTAGAGCGCATTCTGCTGTTAAAAAGAACGCTCAGAATTGATTCATTAGAGAATAGCAATGCGTTTTGAAGATCTCTGATATGATTTCTCAAAATATTTTAAAAAGCTGTTAATAAGAGATTAAAGAGAACTTTGGTTTAACACTCATAGGTCCAGTCAAAAATGCGGGCATTTTATGCTATTTCTGTAGAAAATTGTTAAAAAAATCAGCGGATTTATGCGGAATGATTTTGGGAGTATCATAACTAAAAATGTAATATGTTAAATACAAAATAGGTAACACTTTATTTTGATGGTTAATTCGAGGATTAGTAGACTGTCCGCTTAATATCTGTTGATACTGCTCCTTCAACAGACATTTAATTGACTATAGGAAACTTTGCATGTACAAGTCAACTTACGCTAACCGTAACCCCAACCCCAACCCCAACCTAACAGTTTACTTATAATCTAATGAGAATTAGTTAGCATGTAGTTGCATTATAACTTAAATTCAACAAACGAACTATCAAAATATAGCGTGACCAAAAAAAGGATACATTTTTAACTTTTAATTAATGTTCACAATGCAAATCTAAATAGATTCTTCTATTTGGTAAACAAAGGTCTCTCATGTAATGTCTACTAATAGACAGAAAATATTACTTTAAAAGTATATTTTAAGTACCTCATATGAACATTTTCATATTAGTCCGTAATATTACTGAAAAATGAACTAATTTAAAAACTGAATAATATATAATTTTACACAAATTTACATGTAAGGACAGTAAATAGACTCAATGATGGGCTAGAAATCTGCGTATTTCTGCACGCACAGATTCCGTGTGGACCTTGTCTGGCAGTTGGCTGTGCGCACGTGTGTGAGCCCATTTCAACTGTTGAAAAAATGACCAAATTTAAATAATTTTAATTTACTAGAGTTTAAGATGCATGCAGATCACCTTAAAGGATGATTAAGAATTGAATGAGTACAATAGTCATGATGACACTAAACCGATATGTTGACAGTATCTGAGGCACAGGCTGTAAAGACTTTGCTCTCAGGAAAGGCTGATGGAAAGCAACAGCTGATTTGCTCTTAAAAACACATGAAAGCTATGCTATTGCTTCCATTTCACAAGTTCAGATGTTTTAAGAATAAAGCATATTTGCCGTGCTGTCCAGGGAGAGGGCTCTGAGCTCGGAAAAGACACCCCGACTCGAGTTATTCCCCTTATCGGAAAAGAAAGAGACGATGGGGTTGGAGTGAAGTGTCTATCCCGGCGAAGATATTGTTTAGGAGGTGAGGTGTCAGAGTGGTGCGCGATGCTAAAGTCGTGAGATAATGCAGGTAGGACAACCTTTTGGTATTTATAAGGGTTTGGTATAATGCTGATAGGATAATAGAATGATTGTCAATGATGTACAGTATTAGAAATGCTAAAACATCTGCACATGCTCCTCCTAAAATTTGTTTGTAAAACATCACTTAAATAAGGGCATCTAAAGCATGATATAACAAATGATCTGTGGGTTATTTTGAGCTAAAATTTCAGACACTTTTGGGTGTAGTATAAAATATTAAGTCCCACAGCAAAAAAGTCCCCCCCCCCCGCCCTAAAAAAAAAAAAAAAAAAAAAAAAAAAAACAGATGAAAAGAGAGAGCCTAAGAGCCATAAAAGTTAGTGATATTTAACCCAAAGCGCAGACATTTCACAAAGGCTTTTGGAGGTTGCTAGGACTTTGCTCGCACTGTAGAGGAGCTGTGAAGTCGATAATTGACCGTCTAATGAGAAGGAAGACAGCTTAAGTAACCTTCAGAAATAAGTACCGCAAATGGTTGTTCTTTTTAAGAACTTGAATAGAGGCAGTTATGAAACCCTGGAGATTTATTGCATTGTAGATCATTCAGGTGCAGAGAGAAGAGGAAGGTGTACTGCAAAAGAGAGGAGGGAAAAATATCTAAAAACACGATGTAAATAACAATGTCAGTGCAGTAAAAGGATTTTAATGGCTAGGTAAAGAAATAAAGTGCTGATTAATATTACACCAGATAAATAATAAATAGCATGTTTATCATTTTTTTATCATTAAATTAGAAAAGTTAGATAAACATATTTATACAGTTGAAGCCAGAATTATTAGCCCCCCTGTTTATTTTTTCCCCAGTTTCTGTCTTTGCCATGATGACAGTAAATATTATTTGACTAGACATTTTTTAAGACACTTCTATACATCTTAAAGTGACATTTAAAGACTTAACTAGGTTAATTTGGCTAACTCTGCAGGTTAGGGTAATTAGGCAAGTTATTGTATAACAATGGTTTGTTCTGTAGATTAAAAAATATACTAAAAGCTGAAATAATTTTGACCTTAAAATGTTTTTAAAAAATAAAAGCTGCTTTTTATTCTAGCCAAAATAAAACAAATAAGACTTTCTTCAAAAGAAAAAATATTATCAGACATACTGTGCAAATTTCTTTGCTCATCATTTAGGAAATATTTAAAAAAGCGAAAAAAAAAAAATTAAAAGGGGGGCTAATAATTCTGACATAGACATTGAATGAAACAGTAGATCATGAAAATTGACTTGAAAGTGCTGGAAAAGTCATGGAAGTTTTGTAGTAAAAATGTGTATGAACCCTGATTGTAAAAATGAGATCATACAAATTTAAAACAAAATAACCAATAATATAAAACGTTATGAATTACCGTGAGACAGTGTTGATAAATCTTGTTAAAATGTATAATGCTTCTTTTTTGCTTTAAAAAATCACACTTTAATTTGTTTGCTGCTTGAAACCCCTGGACCTTGTAAATATATTTGAATAAACGGATGTAGAATAAAAATAAAATTGATTTCTCAGTTTATGAAAAATGTCTGTAGAATTATGGCAAGTGGCTTAAAGCCTTGAAGCACTCAGAAGAAGTTATGCCTCTAAAGAGATTAAATGCGGTAATATCGGAGTCTGTCGTTCTCCTTCTGCTGATCTTGCCTCCTGTACCATACTCTGATTTAATGCCTGGAGTGTAGGAAGTCTGTCTCATTTCCAGTTTGCTTCTGTCGTTATTACTTTCTCCTGCTCGCTGTGTGTTTGAGTTGCAATTTAGCCTGATGAACCGTTCATAAGTC